TATACATATATATATATCATAATATAATAATAATGACAGCATCAATATTGTGAGCATGATTAAAAAAAAAAAAAATCCTGAAAACTCTATAATAGGTAAGAAGGTCTACTAATTGAGTCCTGTACAGCTAAACACTCATGGAACCATTTATATGTAGATACATTTTACAGAATAATTGACAATTAACATAACAATTTCTGGTAGTGTGGGGTTAAGCAAAAATGGATATGTATCAATGGAAAAATATATTATAGTAATCATTAATTCACTATTATACTTTTACCTCTAGGACCAGCCTTGAAGTTAACAACACGAACAAAATGTACCATGACATATGTGATTGATAAAATATAAATCTCTGGGAAGATGGCACTATTTACTGGCAAATGCCTCCAAGATAATCACTCATATTCAGAGACAATCGGGACACCTTAAAGAGAGAGCCAGACTAGCATTTCGAGCCTATCAGCCAATCACTGCTATGACAGCCTGATGGTCCAGCTCTATGTTTAAGGTGTCTGAAGCAAGGTCTATTAAGGACAGGTCTCGTCACTAAGCGACTCAAATTCGTCCATCTCGCGCATGACGTCATCTGGAGACCGAGTCTGGGGGTTCGATGCTATCGTGTGGTCATTCTTTGATGTGAGGTCGAGCCGTAAGGATCTCTCCCTCTCTCCGTTTTCGCTCGCTTGACTGACCGGCGCGCGCAAATCCATAATACCCAATGATTGGTTGCAGCTTATATATGTACATTTATGTTATTATTATGTTTATGTATTGGCATCATTATTATTATTATTATTATTATTATTAACATTATCATTGTTATTGTTGTATGATTTGTTTTATAATAAATTCGTCAAAAAACATTTGGAGTTTACATATGTCATGTCTTTTTTTACGTCTTTATTATGCCATTTCTAAGCTGCAACATAAAAATTACAAAACTAAATTGACGTAGAACATATGATATAGGCCTATAAACAATCGCTGATAATCATGCCCTGTAAAATCTGTTCAATATGCAAATCGTTCAACGTGCCGACATCTAAAATTACTTAAGTATCAGCTCATTTACCACCGTTTTCTATTATCTCCCTCCACCCTACCATGCTCATACCCCCGCCCCCTTGCTCTCAGCTCTCTCCAAGTGACGTCATAGGCCTTATCACCCAAAGCTGCGCAGAAGTCCGAAGTGACGAGACCTGTACTTATATAGACCTTGGTCTGAAGTGCCTCTGAATATGAGTGAATGACTGTATGTGTAGTGGTGCAAGATGCTTCTCTCTCTATCTTACCTGTCACTGGTGGTGCTGAATTTTGTGCAGAGCAAAGATTTACAATTCCTAAGAGAGATAGTTGCAGTGTTATCTATGAATCTCATGTATACTCATAAAACATATAAGGAGTAAGTATTCCTAACAATTTTAACAAGTAAAATTTCAAAACTGTGGTATGTCATAATTGGGTAATAAAAACATACATTAAACTCTGTCTGTCTACTTTTAAGCAAAAATCTATTTCTTAATTAACCCACTGATGGTGGGATGCATGTATGTATGTATATATATATATATATATATATATATATATATATATATATATATATATATATATATATATATATATATATATATATATATACACTCCAAGGTTTGGTTCAAATGCTAGGTTGTGCTCTTCAAAAACAATCTGCATTTAAACATGAGCTGTTATTTGCAAGATAGAGTTTTGGATTACAGAGATAATGATAATGATATTGATATTTGTAATTATGCAATCATTTTTAGAGAAATTAATAGTATTATGTAACAATAATCTGCCTGAGGTTTATATCATAATATTACTCTCTCCTGCTTACCTATTGCTTGAATTGGTGGCAAAGAAGTGTACATGAGAGGGTGCACAGCAGCTCTGAATTAGTTCAGAACAAAGTCTAACAATAGTTTCTATGGCATTTCACTACCTTTCTGTTGCTTGTTCCTATTACCAACCACCACCAACTACCCAACTACTGTTGACTGTGTGCCACAGCTTTGTTTCTTTAGTCTGTCCTCTGGTGAGGAAATTGAAGTTAAGATGTTTATGCCAAGGAGATGAGTTAAGAACTATTCAACTAGTTGCATCAACTCACTTACAAACAAAAGCCACAATAATTACTGAGTTTAATTTTGGTGTGGTTGGGGATCTGCCGAGTTGGAAAATACATGTGTATGTGTGTGTGCACACATATTCATTCAGAAACACTCTAAATTTGCAGATCTCTAACTGCTGCTTGAGTAAATCAATCAAATCCTCATCATATGCTGTTGCCATTATTGAAAATTGTATATATTTCTATTAAATTTTGTGTCTGCATCTGGATTTATGTAGTGTTTGTATACAATGTCATATCAACCTAATGTTGTCCAACATATCAAGGAATTGGGAAATCAGTTGAGGACACGTAGGATTACTAATTGGCTCCTTAGTGGCTGAGCACTTGTGGAGCCATCTGTAT